GTCTCTGTTCATCTGATCAGATTTGAGGTCAGATCAGGTTCACTACACAAATAATCTGTTCGTGTTTTTTACGATGGTGGAAAACAGACCTGACTGTGCATGTGTGACCTATGTCTACCTCATGCATTTCCGCCTGGCTAGATGCTAATAATATTATCATGTAGCGGAAGCAAAACTGGTATGTGAGCAATTTCTACTAGAAACTTGGAAAGAGCTCAAAATGATCTGTATTACCTGTAACTCAGTCAGGGAGTGCAGTAACGTCTCTGCCGTCATTAAAACCTGTTGCGAGTCCATTTTTGGTGTTCAAGTTTGTTTACGTTCATCCCGGAAGTAAACCAGAAGAAGAACTTCTTCTTCTGTGTTTTTTTTAAAGGAGAGTTTACCACTCTGCACGTCAGTACTTCTGTTCAGAATAAAAGCCGCTGCATATAAACGTTCATCGTGAACGGAGTGTGTCCATGTAAACGATACATTTGAACTATTTAATCTGAAAACATTTCAATCCAGTCAAAGAATTTTACGCATGTAAACAAAGCTAATGACTGAGATACAACTTGACCTTCAGGGTTCCACTGATGCTGTGAAAAATTACAACCATATCAAATGTTATCACTTAAAGTCTGTAATATTGCTGCATTTTATTTGTAAATAAATACAGCATTTCTCTTTTTCTTTATAATAGATATGTATTTTATTTAAATCTTTTATTTTGTTGTTAAGAAAAGCAAACCAGCTAAGGTATGCTGTGAGTCAGATATAAGTACATTAATTTTACAGTTAAAACCACACTGTCACATTACAATAAAATAATATCTTACAATCAAACATCAGTAGTTTAAGAACAAATGAGAAGATACATGTAACATACAATAAAACAATAATGTGACATGCATGCATGCAAAAGGTCAATACAGATTTTTTTTTTACTAAAATACTTTGCAAACAGGAACACTAAAACCCCATCAGGAGCGCCGCATTATCTGTTACTTCATGCAAACAAACAAAAGATTGCGTGCGCAGATTGCTGCTCAGGTGGACTTCAACAAGGGTTACAATAAAATATTCACCCTATAATTTTTTAAAACAGCTTTAAAATATCAGCCCAACTTTTGGTTTTGACACCGACTGTTTTAACCAGATCTTTTGGCCAACATGACCACCATTCTTGTTTTTGTCTTTACAAAGGGAAGATTTAGATCAAACTTCTTTAGATATTTCTCAAACTCAACATTTATTCTTTTCTCCTTCATTGTTTATACATTTGATCTGAAGTAGTGCTACAGTTAAACAAAGGAAGAGTGGTGAAAAATAAAAGAGCTGCCACGGGAACCTGGATGTCGAGTTAGGGGTGAGTACAAAATCATATTTTATAAGAGAGGTGGGGCATCGAGTACTCATACTTGTACTCATAAAGACACCCAATACTTGGAACCCATGCAAGTTCATGCCTGGTGATGGCAATTTTCTCTTCCACTTTACAAGTAAAAGATGACAAAAAAAATGGCTGAAGTTTATTGATATTTTAAGATAAACACGTGACATAAAAACAGCAGTCCTGTTTGTTGTGTTCCTAATAAAATAAACATGTTTCTAAAATTGTGAAATGTTTATGTACTAACTCATTAACTTCTCAGTATCGGTATCATGGGGGATCCGTACCATGAAGAGCCACGATAAGTGAAAAACTGCGAAGTAGGAATCATAGTACAAGTATCAAGTAGTAGTTTTTATATATATATATATAAAGGCGTTTAAACCCTTCCCTCACTCTTGCAATATTCTAAGCAATGTTTCTAAACTCTAAATGCTCTAAAAGAGCACAGAATGTCATGATTTCAGCTCCCTGCCTCCTCTGCTCTTTGCAACCTGCAAGCGCTCTTGGCTACGCCCACTTCACCGCTCTGCACGCTGAACAGCTGATCATGCATGGAGATCAGCTGATCAGCTGCAGCAGGAAGTTTATCCTGCAGTGTGGACTACACAAAGGTGCAGGAGTAAGCTTTTTCTGTAGGTCTGGGCTGCACAAATGTGCATCTGGTGGTAAATAATTTAGAATAATTTATTTTAAATAAAAATTCCATGCCGATTGTGCGGCTCATCCATCAGTCAGCCAATTGTGTGTCATGTGCAATCTTATATTGAAAAAATGTGATAGAGCAAGTCGGCGATAAACAAACTGCAAAGTAGCGAGGGACTACTGTACTTGTACTTTGCTCAGTCTAAAACAAACAAAAATAAATTGGGACACTGATGGATGGTGTGAAGAAACATGGTTTGATGTCATGTTTAGACATTTAGACGTCTTCACTGGAAAATTGTTTTAAAGGTTTTTACATTTTTAGAAATATTGTTAAATTTTTACGAGTCAATTCAGACCCCATCTGCACCACTCCAGATAGTTTTTAAACAAAATCATTTTTTCCCCTGCTTATTTAAAGCAAAGCTCTGCCCAGATGAGTCTAACAAAAACAATAAATTACTCACTGTGTGTCAAAATATGGCAAAATGCCCATATTAATAAGCCCAGAGAGAAAGAACAATCTTAGCTTGGCTTCAGATTCTTCTCTCTTTGTTAACATTTACCTTCTCCTCTCAGTTATTAAATATGTTATCCCATATTTAATGTTTGATGTTGAGGAGAAGAAGAAAAATGGAATAGATGCAGAAAAATAAAACCAGTAATAACAGCTCTGTTGTTGTCTTGGTTTCTAGTCAAGTTTCAAGCTCAATCAAAAGAACAGGGCGTTTTTCAAACCGTGACAGAGGACAGTGAGTGTTTTGTGGCTTCATGTCATTATGTGCTGTTAAGTTTGGGGCGGGCTGAGTTTCATTCTCCATCCAGGCTGAGAGCCGATCTGTGGTTTTACATCCACTCTCAACATCTTTCACATTCCTTGTTATTTAGACCAGTTTACTGATTAACTTCACTCTACTCAGCCACAGTTGCAGCTCTTGAGGGCCTCTGAAGCTTATCTGACACCATAGATAAGAAGCGAATGGCATCATGTTCACTCATTCATACATCACTTTATATACATTTTAGTTATTGTCAGCGTCTTCTCTTTTTTAATTTTGTGTGGTTCTTGGAGCTCCTTCTGTCTCACCTCCAGCTGCCTCATCAGGCTGTGACAGACTTGTTGGTGGACCGGGAGTTACTCTGCTCAGAGGCTTGATCCGTGACTTTAAGTTTCAGACACGACTGCTTTTCGTCCAGTAGCATCTCTGCAGGAAGACACCAGCAGCACAGGCAGGACTGGAAACAAATTGAATGAACAGTGTTCAGAGAAAGTGCTGGGCTGAACTTAAAGAGGAGAAACAATGAAAACATTTAAATTGATCAACACTGCACTGTGGCTGAGTGGTTAGAGCAGTTGTCCTCCAAATCAAGAATTGGGGATTCAATTCCACCAGCAGTCACATGTTGAAGTGTCCCTGGGCAAGACACTGAACCCCTCATTACCTCTAACGTGTGTCCCATCAGTGTATGAACGTGATCTAAAGCTCTGATTAATCTTTGTATAGATCTAGTAGAGTGCTGTATGAATGGGTAAATGAGGACACAGATTGTGTTGTAAAGAGCACTGAGTATCTTGATAAGATAGAAAAATATAAGTACAGTCCATTTACTGTAGTGACATGAGAAGAATTTCCAGGCTCCTCGCACCATCAGTGACCAGGACCCGTCAGGAAATAAAAATCCTCCCTCTGTTTTCCTCAGTGTACAGGCTCAACTCCTACACGCTTGAATATCTTACACCAAAAACATTAAAATTGACTTCCAACCCCTGTTCAATTCCTCATCTTGAAAACTACAAACAACCATTATTCAAACCCCTCAGTGTCGGGGGGCATGATGCTTGCATCAGAGAGCAAGAAAAACATTTCTACATCTACACAGTCTGTTTTGCAACAAGTTTCCCACATGGAACGTCTAACAACAGACCATTAACTGTGTTCCTGCACTGCCTTCAGTGCACGTAGCCATAGATGGCTGCATAAACACTCACCTCATGTAAAAATGTTAAAAAGCTAACAGAACAGTGTGAACTGTCGTGAAATATTTAAGATTTGAGTTGCTTTAAATAAACTACTACCTGCTAACGTCTTGACCAGAGGTGTCCAGACTTCTTCATCATGGAGCTCCTTTTAAAATGACCTGGTCAAAGTGATCAACCTGCTATAAAGCTCCATTTACACAGAACAACCTCTGGAAACATTGTGTTTTATCAATGTTTATTGGGAGTAATAAACAAAAAATTAGTGGGTTTACACGAAAACGCTGGTTTCCATGTCAGTCGGGTTGCCAGATAAGTAATTATGAACTAAAGTACTGTGGTTTTAAAATGATAGTATTTTTACCTAAACTGTCATATGTGCTGCTGAGTAAAGATGTTCTAAGATAAGGTGTGTGTTGTGTTTGTTGAACATGCTCACAGAAAATGAGGGGGCAAATAAGACATTTAAAATTTATCTGGCAACCCTGATGCATGGCTCAGCTGCATTCATTGTGCATGCAGCATCTGCATGGCAGTTGTCCAAATTGGTGAACACACTAACGTCTCTTTGGACCCTGGATTTTATTATTTTTGCTTGTACATGCTGAAAAACGGTGAGCAGCACAAAAACACTCTGCTTTCTTCCATTTATTATATACAACGGAGTTTTAGGGCCACGCTAAGAAAATATAACTAAAAGCTATAAAATTATGAGAATAAAGTCCTAGTTTTACAAGAATAAAGTTAGAATAGAATAGAATAGAATAGAATAGAATAGAATAGAAACAGCCTTTATTGTCCCACGGATGGGAAATTCCAGTGTATCAACAGCAGCAACAGATAAAAAGATTAAAAGATTTAAAGATTTCAAACAAAAGTTCCTAAATGTTAATAAACAACACAATATATAATAAATAAGATAAACAATATCAATAATAATAATAACAACGTTCAATATGTAATAAACAATATCAATAATAATGTTCAATATGTAAAGTTGTATGACAATTAGGGGTTGAACAACTACATAATTTTTAAACTCGACATTAACATAATAAAACTCGAGTAGAACTCGAGTAGTTTATGACGTCATAGGATCTCAAGATGAAAAAATAAATAAAAAATAAAACTGCAAAAAAACATAATTTATTATTTACAAAATAAAAGACCAACAAAACATTGGGAGCATATATTATGCCCCTACCATTTATCATACTGCAAATAAGTCGCAGGAAAACCAAAACTATTAGTTATTATTACTGAGCAGCAAAAGTGAAGAAACGTGCAGCACGTCAAAAACGAAACTAAAAACAGTGGGGCGGACGACCACCATACACCACCGACAGCTGTGCTGTGCATTAGGTTTAGTTTAAGAGATTAATATGTTTATAGTTTTTTTTTAAATAGGTTTAGAGATTACTATTTTTTTGCTTTTTGTTTGTGAAACAAGGACAGAGAAGCTGGTTCTGGTTTGGTCATTGGACCCGGTGTTACACCATATTCTGTGACCTGCAACAGTGCATGCAACACCGCCCCCTACGGTCACAATATACAATGGTCACAGAAAATGGTATAACACCGGTTCGCAACGAGCTCCAAACAGTCAGGAAGTTGATTCATTTTCTGTTTCCTTATGATAGATGAACCGGAAAATTCATCTTTAGTGAAATATTTCCATACTACTGATGCATTTCTACCTGTTTGCCAAGACTGGGTCTGCTCCACTCAGTCCATCTGCTGGGAGGAATCCATTTGGTAGCTTCTACTAGGAGCCCGGTGTGAATCACATGACACGTGACGCAATGACGTCACTGCTAATACTCGATGTGAAAATTTAAAACTCGATAGATGTCTTAGGAATCGACCTGTCAATTACTCGAGTAGTCTGTTAAAGCCCTAACGACAATAAAGTCATAATATTACGAGAATAAAGTCATATGTATGTATATATGTATGTTTTATTTATTAATTTCATTTCATCCAAACAACAAATATAATACAATTTAAAGAAAAGAAAAAAGATATACAATCACAGAAATAAAATGAAAGGCAGCGGAAGAAGAATGAATTCTTATAATATCTGCCCCTTGTCCCCAAAATATATTCCAAACAAAATTACTATACAAAAGCAAGATGAATTAATAAAAAATAAAAAAAATAAATAAAATAAAAACTTAGCTAAAATATAAGATCAACTGTAAACAATTTTTATGAACTCACATTATACTTAATATTTAAAAAAAAAACAAATTTTTATCATCCTCTTGAATATGTACATAGTTTTGGCATTTTTAATATCAACCTCCAGATCATTCCACAATCTAATACCCTGAGATCTAGTGGATCGCATCTTCAGACTGGTGCGACACCACGGCTTCACAAACATCTCCATCCCCTTAAGATAATAATTACTTTCTCTTTTAACAAATTTCCCTTGAATGTTAGTAGGTAGTATGTTTTTGTTGGCCCCATACATAAACAGTAAGATATTGTAATCAACCAAGTCATAAAATTATAATATCTTTAGCTGATGAAACAATATGTTTGACGGATGGTTATAATCTTTTCTGGTAATAATTCTTATGGCTCTTTTCTGTAAAATAAAAATTGGATTTGTAATTGTTTTACATGCTTTACCCCAGACTTCAATACAGTAAATTAAATGTGGAACAATAATGGCATTATACAATAGAAACATTGCTTTATCATTGAATAACTCTCTGACTTTGTACATTACTGCAATCGATTTAGCTATTTTAGTTCTTAAGTTTTTTACGTGAGATCTCCATGTTAGTTTTTCATCAATGATGACACCCAGAAATTTCACCTCATTGACTCTATTAATTTCAATTCCATGGACTCTAAATGGAGTATCAAGCACTTACTTGTTATTACTAAAAATCATATAATTTGTTTTATCTATATTTAAAGATAATTTGTTAAGTTGAAACCAATTTTGTATTTTCACAAATTCTGTTTGTGCCATCTTCAGCATTTGCACAACATTTTCACCCACACAAAGAAAAGTAGTATCATCTGCAAACAAAATACATTTAAAAAATCCAGACACATTTACCAGGTCATTCACATATAAAATAAATAGCTTAGGTCCAAGTATAGAGCCTTGAGGCACTCCACATGTAATATTACAGAATTCAGATTTTACATCATTTATTTGAACAAATTGTTTCCTTTTTTCTAGATAACTAGATACCCACTGCAATGCATGCCCTCTAATACCATATTTATTTAGTTTTTTTAGAAGAATATTGTGATCAATAGTATCAAATGCTTTCTTTAGATCAACATAAATACTAATACAATATTTTTTTTGATCCACAGCAGTCGTTATCTGTTCCATTAAATCCATGAGTGCCACTGACGTAGAATTTTTAGGTCTAAACCCATATTGACTATTACTTAATATATTTTGCTTATTGATAAATTCATCTAATCTAGTGACAAATAATTTCTCTAAAATCTTCGAAAACTGTGGCAACAACGATATTGGCCTGTAATTATTAAACACACGTTTCTCTCCACTCTTATATAATGGTATGACCTTGGCTATTTTCATGTTATTAGGAAATACCCCATATGATATACCCATATGATAATAAAGTCAGTAGTATTATGAGAAAAACTCATAATATTTTTTACCAGAATAAAGTTGTAATATTATCTGAACTCAGACATGATAAAGCAATGTTTACCGCATTTTAACTGTGGTAAAATGAAAAATGTTGAGCATTCTTATGATAAACTGAAGCTGTATGGCATTGCAATTAATGGCTACATTGACGGATTTAGTTGTCACTTAATGTGGATGGAGGCATATTTCACAAACGGTGACCCAAAAGGGATTGCGGACTGCTTCATAAACACAGTGACTTGCATTGGAGGCTGTCCATAGCACTCACAATGCAACCCTTGATTTCTAAATCATTTAGCTTCAGATTGGTCATTTGCTGACACACGTACTGGATTGAATGGCAGGTCACATCATGGATCTGACTCGAGGAAAAAACAAACAAAAAAAACCAAGAGCTACAAAAAGTCTCAAATTATTTTATTCTCATAATACTTAGACTTTATTTGACTTTATTCTTGTAATTTTATGGCTTAATTTTCTTTTTCTTAGCGTGGCAATAGCTATGTTCACATGGACATAAGTAATCGTATTAAACGGCCATTCAGAATAAAAATGTGTCACGTAAATGCCCCATTCGGATTATTTTTTGTTGATTCAACTCGATCCGAATGGATTTGTAATCAGAATGAGACGAGGGGTTTATGTCAATTAATAATCTGAATGGTGTGCATGTAAACAATCTGTTCTTTTTTTTTTACAGTCGTGGAAAACGGACCTGACTGTGCATGTGTGACCTATGTCTACCTCATGTATTTCCGCCTGGCTAGATACTAATAATATTATCATGTCGGGGAAACAAAACTGGTCAGTGAGCGACACAATATTTCTACTAGAAACTTTGAAAGATCTCAAAATGATCTGTATTACCTGTAGCTCAGTCAGGGAGTGCAGTAACGTCTCTGCCGTCATTAAAACCTGTCGCTGGTCCATTTTGGGCATTCAGGTTTGTTTACGTTCATCCCGGAAGTATAACTTCTTCTTCTGTGTTTTTTTTTAAGGAGAGTTTACCACTCTGCACGTCAGTACTTCTGTTCAGAATAAAAGCCCGTTGCATGTAAACACTCATCTTGAACAGATTGTGCCCATGTAAACGATACATTTAATCTGAAAACATTTCAACCCAGTCAAAAAATTTTGCGCATGTAAGCATAGCTAATGTTTTTTTTTCTTAGCGTGGCCCTAAAGCTCCACCATAATTATAACTGTTGTTAGTGCAGAACAACTTTAAGCCCCCAGTATACTCCCACGTACATCCATACGCGGAGGTACGAGCGTACGTCCGCAGAAGTATATGCGTATGTCTGCAGGGTTATGTCCATGCAAAGATCAATTTTTACGGCTGCGTACGTGTTGTCGCACAATAAACTGCCCGGCGACTGACTGTTTTGTTTGTGACACCAATAAATTAAATTCCTTCTTCATCCCTGATCTGGCCTTTTCTTTTTTTTTTTTTTTTTTTTTCCAAAAGGCAAGTGATCTCTTCCTCCTCCGTTGATGCCATGACTGAAATGGTGAGAAATGAAGGAATTTGTCACGAGCGAATTAAAATCAGCCCCAGCATGGCTGCAGGAGGGTCTGGAGATTTCCTTTTGGGCTGATCTGATGTGTGGGCTGCAGGACCAGCGCTCCCTGTTTTTTATTTTTTTTTAGAATTTTTTATTAACAACATATAAACACAGAACACCTCTGCGGCTGAGGCTGCCAGCTCTTGGTTTTTTTTTTTAACCTATCAATCAATCCAGTAGGCGTGTCAGCAAATGACCAGTCGGCAAACTCAATTTGTCCCGAACGTAAACGCCCCTTGTCTGTGAAGCTGCTCTGCAGCTGCTCAGGGTGAACGCTCGAGTATGAAGTCTCAACCTTCACGTACCTCCACGCAGACGGATGTACGTGGGAGTATACTGAGGGCTTTAGACTGCAGCCACCTGTAGTGTTCATGTGTGACTTCACACTTGGAGCATTTCACACCTCCATGGGGGGTCCCCCTAAAACAGGGGTAGGAAACCTTTTTGGCTGAGAGAGCCATAAACGCCACATATTTTAAAATGTAATTCTGTAAGAGCCATACAATATATATATTTTTTTACCAAATACAAGTAAATGTGTGCATTTTATGTAAGACCAACACTTTTAAAGTGCAATAAGCCTCTGAATTATTTTAAATAACATTGTTATGCTGTTTTGCCATCATGATGGTATGATCATGAACAGTTCTTGCCGACAGAGGCATGTCTTTTATTCGTTTAACTATCTTGTCTTTATCTGAAAAGTCGTCAAAAAGTTCACTGGCAACATCAAGCATGAATGTTTTGGCATACTCACCATCTGTGAATGGCTTTCTGTTTCTCACAAATGCTAAAACACCAGCAAAACTAGCCGAATTACAGTCACCTTGTTGGGTCCAAACACGGAGTTGCTGCTGACTAGTTTGCACTCTGCACAGTAGCTCTTCACATGCTTTCTTTCTGCTGTACCCCACAAGATATTTTGATGCAAATGTAGCATGGTGTGTGTCGAAGTGCCGCTTTATATTGCTTTATATTTGAACATTTCATTGATGCAATTTTATCATAGCATATTAGACACACTTCAGAACTTGCTTTCTCCACAAAAGTGAATTCCTCTGTCCATTCCTGATGAAAAGTACGATACTCCTCATCTCGTTTTCTTTTAGCCATCTTCGTCGACATGTTTACGTAACTAGCTAGCTAGCTGCTATGAAGGAAATTTACTTCCTGACCACGTCACCCATGTACGTTACGCATTATCCGATTGGCTCCAGCCACCCGCAACCATCTTTTACATTTTCATCATTATTATTTTTTTTATTAAAGATTTGTCTGCAAGCCAGATGCAGCCATCAAAAGAGCCACAGTTGGCACGCGAGCCATAGGTTCCCGACCCCTGCCCTAAAATCTCCCTCAGAGGCCTGGATTCATAAACCTTTGGTTTCAGAGAGAATGAGGCTGTTGTCTGCAAATGAACGGCCGAACGTTTCGCGTCGTGTAAATGGGGCCTCGTGGCTGCCCTGTCTGTCAATCAAGAGACAAATCTCATAGATGGATGATCGGCTGACGTTGATTTTTTAATGTCATGCCATCTGCCCAGAATACCTTTGAGATGGATCGGTAGATCAAGATTGACATATTGGGCACCCCTGGTCTTGACAAGGTGTCAAACTCACTTACAAAAGGGGGCAAAACTTAAAACCTTTTTCAAACTAAGGGTCATTTTCAGAATCTACATGAACTCAAATCAGATACCCAACATCTTTTCTTAGTCACAGGTTCCTCAACAAGAGCTTGATTGGACTCATTTGATGTTCTCTGTTGTGTTTTCAACATCATAATAAAAGATTACTGAAGTATTTTATGTTTCACATATCATCTTGGGGGCCAGATAAGATGTCAGCGAGGGCCACATTTGGCCCCGGGCCTTGAGTTTGACACATATGCTCTAAACTAACAACTTTTTGGTTGCTGTCTACAGCAGATAAGATATTTACTACTGCTTAAAATCCCACTTAAAAATATGCTAGCTGTGAGAAAGACGGATCTCACCCTGAAGCAGCTCTTGAAGCGCTTGCTGACCATATAGAGTGCGATGGGGTTGATGCAGGAGTTGATGGAGGCCATGTTGATGCCGATGTAGTCCAGCACCAAGAAAAAGCTGAAACAGTCACAAGACACACAAATATGTTCCAAGTTATGTTTATCTCATGAAGCTGAAGTATGTGCTGCCGTACCTGAGCAGCTCGCAGCGGTTCGGATCTTTTTCATCGTAGATGGTGAGTTTCAGAATTCGGCTGAGGTGGAGAGGCAGCCAGCACAGAGCAAAGACCAGAACCAGACAAAACACCGTCTTCGCCACCTCCCTGCGCTGAACGTGAACAAAAAAACACACAAATCATCAGCATCTGGCTCTGAAACAACTGTGGTGACATTTTTAGTCTCCGAGGAGCTTTGCAGTATTGTTTTCCATAAATCTCAAGTTCTTTAAAATTTTCAGTCTCTAATTCTAATTTATTGTCTGTGCTTAAACAGCTTTACTGTTACAGTTTGGATTAAACTTTGTTGTAAATGTGCAAAAAGACTTAAAAACATTTTCTTTCTTTTAACCACGTAAAGCGTTAAAACAGCAAATTAGCATTGACTTTAGTCCGCTATGAGAAGTAACCACGGAGAATGAGTTTGAGCCCTCTGACCTGTTTGAGGTGGTCACTGAGGGCAATCTGCACACCGTTCTTCTTCCTCAGCATCTCACAGGTCATCAGGGTGTAGAAAACAGCCGTGCAGGCCAGTGGCAGGCAAAAATAAGCACCGAACAGCCACCAGTCCTTCGCTGATTTATAAAACTGGATAAAGAGGAGAGAATAACACAAAGATCTGGTGGGAGCAGAAGAGGCAGATTTACACTTTGACCTGAAGTTAAGGGTGTTTCTCACTTTGTTTTAATCTTTAGATCAATCTTTCACTGAAGCTGTTCATGAGAGAGGTTGCATTTATAAATTCACCTCCAACCACACGGAGCCTTCTCACCATTCGTGATTCATATTTGGCATTGCTTTCTTGAGCTGGTCACAGTTGAAGCACTTTTATGTAAAGAATGCTTTCATATCCACACACAGCATGCACATCTGCGCTGTCTTTCTGCGTCTCAACAACTGAATCAACACACACTGGTTTCCTGTGAACTGTGAAAGGCCTCCTCCTCATAGAGGAGGTCTGCCTCAGCTCACCCTCATGAAGTGTGTCGTCTGCTTGGGATGCAGCAGGCAGATCCTCAAGTGTTCTCCTTTGTAGTCCATGGAGATCATGTCGAAGGCTATTGCTTCTGGCACAGCAAGGACGATGGATAAGATCCAGATAAGCACTATCTCAATAGCCATCCATTTTGGAAGGCCTATTCCTTTGATCCGACTCCATGAGGCCACCGCCCGATACCTGGAAAACCAATCAGTGCAGAATTCACCCATCCATCTATTATCTATACCCTCTTCTTCCTTTCTGGGTCGCAGAATGATTTCGCTAAAAGCTGCTGGACAAGCTAAAGCTTATTGAAGATACACTGATAGCTGAAAGGAGTACAAAAGAGAAAACAGCAGAAAAATAACTGCAAAACGCAGAAATAGCTAAAGCTGCAAGTAGCAGAAACAAGCTGACATTAACTGCAAGAAGCTAAAAGTAGAAGAAACAAGCTGATATTAGCAGAAGAAAGCCAGAAGGAGCACAAATGCTGCAAAAAGAAGTTAAAAAAAGAGCCCAAAACTTTTGACGTTAGCAGAAAAGTAGCAGAAAAAGACACCCAGAAAGCTGAAATTACATAAAGGAAGCTGAAATGAGCACAACTTCAGAGAAAGAGAAACAGGATCTCAGTTGTGTGACTGCGCTATTAACATTCACACTAATGCATTAATGTGTGGTGGAGTCATGGTCATGAGTGGGGGTTACATAAAGGTTGAGCAATATAGGGTATATCAAACATTGGACAATTCATTTGCTCAAGATTTGAGCAACTTCTGCACGGTTTATCGTTGCACAGTGAATTGTGGTCCTGGTGGGGCATGGTGGGAGTTGTGGTAGGTTATCCATGACGTGAGGCCTGCAACATCAGTTAAGGATTGGTCACTTTGGCCTCATGTCTAGGCCACAAAAGATCCTGAAATGGCCATGAAAACAACCTCCTGAAGACGTGTACCCAAGGCGGGAGCATTTAGGTAATGTCTAGAGCAAGAGTGGCCAATCCTAGTCCTCGAGGACCACTATCTTGCATGGTTTAGATCAGGGTTATTCAACTAAAGTGCTCAGGGGGCCACAGTTGCTGAAAGCCAGCAGCTCAGGGGCTGGACATCCAGCAAATAAAGTCATTCTATTTATTTACTTATTTATCTTTATTTAACTAGACAAATCCCATTGAGATCACAGATCTCTTTAGCAAGGGAGGTCTGGGCCTGAAGGCAGCCTAACATGCATGTTTTTGGTCTGTGGGAGGAAACCGGAGTACCCGGAGAAAACTCAAGCAAGCACGAGAAGAACATACAAACACACCCAGAAAGATCCCAGGTCCAACCGGGGATTGAACCCAGGACCTTCTTACTGTGAGGCAACAGTGCCAACCACTGAGCCATCGTGCTGTCTATAAACCAAGTATTACAATGATCTATTACCTATTGAAGTTATTTATTTTGTTGCATTGAATCATACATGCAATAAACAGAACCCCCTTTTTTTACAAAATCATTGGCGGGTCAGACTGAAGTCACCCGTGGGCCTGAAGTGGCCCACGGACCGTCAGTTGAATAGCCCTGGTTTAGATATTTCTATGCTCCAACATACCTGATCTGATTCAATGGGTGATCTTCAAGCTTCTGTAGAACATGAAGATTTAACCATTAAAACAGGTTTGTTGGAGCAGGGGGACCAGTAAAACTTGCAGGACAGTGACCCTAAAGGACCAGAATTGGACACCCCTGTTCTAGAGCTTAACTGCAGCAGTGCCATGGTTACCTTCATACTGAAGGAGGTTTGCCATATTTGCTGCAATCCAGCTGTGTTGTAAAAGGTTGTGAAGAGCATAGTGGAGCAATCATCCCTGTGTAAGGGAACTTTAGAGCTTGGATCATACTGGTATACAGTTTGTGGTAAATTCAGCACACTTTGTCAGTTATAGTCACAGAACTTGTAAAAAGATGCTACCATGGCTCAGGAAGTGTGTTTGGGTTGCAGCTGCATACCTGTCAATACTCAAAGCACACAGACTCAACACAGTAATCCCCACTGAAGCTTTCTGGACAAAGGGCACCAGCTTGCACAGAACTACCCCAAACGGCCAGTCCTCCGCCAGGAGCTGCACATAGATTGCAACAGAAAGACTCAGTCAGTGGGTTAAAACATGGTCGGAATGAGACAAACAGTATTTCTTCACAATTTATTTCTACAGCTACAAGAATCCTATATGTGTGAGTTTCTTGTGAGCGTTCAGAGCTGTGATTTATTTTACTTTTTAAACCACTACTTTGACCTGTGAGCATCACAACCAAACAAAACACTCATGAACATACAACGTGAGGCTTTTTGGATATTTTTGGTTAGTCAGTTGAAATCACGTGCCTGTGTATTTCTTGACACCATCATTCCTGTTCTGTCAGCACGGCAGTGTATAACTGCGACCGTTTGTTTTAACACGCTAACCCAAATACACAAATCGGTCTCGTTTCCCTCTCAAACAAAAATAAGACCAGCTTTCAGAGAGACAGGAGGGGAGATCCAGTGGAGTATAACATTTAGAAGATCCTCTTTTTGGCCTCCTTCACAGAGTGAAGAGGAGGAATTGGAAATACCCTCCATCAGCATTGTGAGCATAACGTCAAACTGTACTTATATAGCACCTTTCCATCTTATCAAGATACTCAAAGCTCTTTACACTACAATCTGTCTTCTCATTTACCCATTCATTCAGCACTCTACTAGATCTATACAAAGCTAATTGAACAAATCATTCTAAAGAGACTAATCAAAATTTTAGATCTCATTCATTTAGGGGCGGCTGTGGCTGAGGGGTTAGAGCACTCACCCTCCAGTGCAAGAGTTGGGGGTTCGAATCCACCAGCAGTCACATGTCGAAGTGTCCCTGGGCAAGACACTGAACCCCTCATAGCCTCTGATGTGTGTCCCATCAGTGTATGAATGTGATCTAAAGCACTGATTAGTCTCTTTAGAATAATTTGTTCAATTAGCTTTGTAGTGATCTAGTAGAGTGCTGTATGAATGGGTAAATGAGGACACAGATTGTAGTGTAAAGAGCTTTGAGTGTCTTGAAATAAGATAGAAAGGCATTATATATAAGTACAGTCCATTCATACACTGATGGGACACACATCAGAGGCAATGAGGGGTTCAGTGTCTTGTCCAGGGACACTTCGGCATGTGACTGCTGGTGGATTCGAACCCCCAGCTCTTGCATTGGAGGATGACTGCTCTAACCACTCAGACACAGCTGCCATAATATAATAAGTGAAGTACTGACTTCCATTTTGGTGTGTGGCTGCATCTAAGTATAAGAAAGTTTTCTTTTGAAAAATAGGCTGCGCCATCCATCCATTATGTTTGCACGCTTCTTTCTTATCGGGCCATGGGGGTCACTGGTCCCCATGTCCAGCCATCACTATGCGAGAGGCTGGGAATACCTGGACAGGTCTCCAGTCCATCACAGGGACACAGAGACAAATGAGACAACCATTCACTCTATCACTCTCACATAGGGACAATTTAGAGATACCAATCAGTCTAGCATGCATGTTCTTGGTCTGTGCGAGGAAACTGGAGTACCCAGAGAAAACCCACGCAGCACTGAGAGAACATGCAAACTCCACCCAGAATGGCTCCCGGCCAGGATTCGATCCGGCGACCTTCTTGCTGACATGTGGCAGCTCTACCAACTGAGCTACCGTGCTGCCCGGGTTGTAACATCAAAATCCAAAATGGTCACTTCCATGTATATCTGTAAATCGGCCACTTCTATTCATGCATTCAAGTGTACTTGAAAGAAGAAGAATGAAAGTCAGTTGTAGTAATGAAGCTAAGCTTTCAGTTTTTATATAGCTCAAAACTAAAATTTCCTCAAATGATTGGGAGTGGCCCTTAGGGTGGCAGAAGATGAATCTATAGATCAAGGTCACCATTGGCCAACCCCTGGCTCCATCACTGCACCTGGTGGATAAAATTTCTCCCCCCACTCTCCAGGATTTGTCACCCTGCTCTATCAGACAAGCAAAAATCCCTCCCTCTGTTCTTCTGCACAGTGTAACTTTACCCACTTGAACATTTTACACCAAAAACATTTAGGTTTACTCACATTACCTGTTCAATTACTGTCCATAAAAACAGTCATCTTATAAACTACCAACATTCACTCTTCATCGGAGATGGGGGGCATCAGCTTGTTATTCATGCGTTTGTCCTTGATTACAGGGGTAGAACTGGTTTGGACCCTAGAGTCCAATAGTAAAAATATTTATCAGAGCACAAAATATAAATGTATATTCTTTCTGTGATGTTACACAAGTAAATACAGAGATTTGTGTTATATTAAAGCACCCTCTTCCCCTTGCCTTACCTTGTAAACATTAATGGGGATGCCGATGATGATGTGCAGCAGGTCACCTAGGGCCAGACTGCCGATGAGTATGTTAGGCCCGTTCCTCATGCACTTATTCTTATAGATGATCCTCAGGAGAGCAGAGTTGCCGATGATGCCAATGATGAACACCAGGCAGGACACCACAGTGTTGATGTACTTAAACGTGTCTCGAATCTCTGTGGGCCCGATGCACATGGGGGGAAAGCGACGGCGAGGCACAGTGAAGTTGGGCCTTGCAGAACCTTGCACGTCTCTCTCCACAAGTCCAGATTTCTGGGTGGCAGTGAGAGGAGCCTGGGGGGCTTGCCTTTGTGGTTCCAGCTGTCCGTTGACCACAAGCAAGTGAGCCACTAGAAGGAGAAACTCCACGCTGAGTAGACAAGTCTTCATCCTGGGCTTTGGTTGGTTTATTCCAAAAACTGACACTGATCGTCTAGCGTCCCTGGAACAAAAAGATGCAAGGAAATGCTGCTGCCTTGTTCAAAGGGGTTCAGAAACAATAAAGGAATAAGTAACAAAACGCATAGAGGTAGAACATTCTGTTGCAAATCTGGCTCACTTTTTTATACGCCCTTTGAAGGCAGACACGAGATGGTATAGACAGTCCATCTGTCCATAAACTTTCTCTAACTTTGTATCCTTTCAAGACAATTGAACAAATCGTCATTCACACATGCATCATCACTAGATGGAGTGTTACGTACACTTTTCATCACCTCAACTCTAAGTTCAAGGTCACAAATCAAGATCCAAAGTTGTACAAGTTCTGTGCTTGTCTGGATCATTGTTATAAATTTCTGTATAATAGTTTGTTGACGGGCATATAATGTGCCATATGTGGTACTCTTGTTAATTTTTTTCAAGGCTTCTAATACACACTTGGACTATAATGTTTGCAGATGACATTATTATCTATGATGAAAACAGGGGAAAAAGTGGAAGAGAACTCAGAGAGATGCAGGTATGCACTTGAAAGAAGAGGTATGAAAGTCAGCTGTAGTAAGACAGAGTACATGTGTGTGAATGAGAGGGAGGAGGTGGAACAGTGAGGCTACAAGGAGCAGAGGTCACAAAGGTGCAGGACTTTAAGTACTTGGGGTCAACAGTCCAGGAAAATGGGGAGTGTGGTAAAGAGGTGAAAAGGAGAGTCCAGACAGGACGGAGTAGATGAAGAAAAGCTTCAGGAGTGATTTGTGTTAAAAGGGTGTTAGCAAAGGTCAAAGAAAAAGTTTACAAGACAGTTGTGAGAGCAGCTTTGTTGTATAATCTGGAGACAGAGACATGGACAAAAAGACAAGAGGAAGAACTGGAAGTGGCAGAAATGAAGATGTTGAGGTTCTCCTTTGGAGTGACAAGGATGGATAAGATTAGGAATGAGATCATCAGAGGTACAGCATAGGATGAACAACTGGGAGATAAAGTTAGAGAGGCCAGACTGAGATGGTTTGGACATGTCCAGAGGAGGGACAGTTTTTTGGACATGTCCAGAGGAGGGACAGTGGGTTTATTGGTAGAAGGATGTTAGAAATGCAGCTGCCAGGAAAAAGACAAAGAGGAAAATATATGGATGCAGTTAGAGAGGACATGGAGAATCAGAATCAGAATAAGCTTTAACATTGCACCAAGATACAACGAGAACATGTACGTACAGTCATCCGGAAGATAGACATAGTTCACGAAGCTGCTACTATAAATAAGCGCGGCCTTTCTTATCTTTTATCAGAATAATAATTTTAGATAGGAAAAGGGGGAGAAACATGAGGGTAGATGAGGTATTACAAAAAAGATCTTTCACATCTTGTCTATCAGGACACGATATGAGACATAAAAAAAACTCTACCAGCAAGCACAATTAAAACATGATTACGTATGAACAACAAAGTCCATGCTCAATAATCCAGGTATAAAATTCAAAATTTTTCAGTCAGGTCATCTGGACAGTTTCTTTTTTTGTGCTGAAACGTTTCACCTTCGATCTGGAAGGCTTCATCAGTCAAGGAAACACACAACACAACTGATTCTTCCCCCAACACCTTACTCCAAAGTGGAACAAACCAGTTCTGCTTGTGATAAGATGGTCTCTTTGGTACACCCCTCCTCCATTGCTGGCCCTCTTCCTTGTTGACAGTCTTGTCAAACTGGTTGAAAACAACAAAGTCAAAGACGATAGATGAAGCTTTTGTCCCTGATTACCCATGACCCAGAAGAAATTTGATAGTCATCCAGTCCCCGAGGCCATTGGGGAGTCAGATTCAGATAAGCTTTGATTGTTGATTTTCTTCAGGCAGAAATATTTTTCCCTTCTTCAACCTTGAGTCCATCTGGATGTTCTGGTTCCAAAATGACCTAATTGTGGGAATCCATTCCACTGATCCATGTTATGAGTCTCCCTCAAGGTCAAACCCACCGCGCTGATGAGTCCCAGAAGCTGCAGGTAGCCTGTGATTCTCATAAATTGCCTCCAGCTTACAGTTTAGCTTGTAAATCAGCTGATTTTGAGTACTCACAGCACGAACCAAACCTTCACACTGACTCGGAAGCTTTGCCATGGCCGAAATTTCTACCGATGTCTTCTTCAATAGTCAATAAAACAGAGCCCCACTGATGCCAAAAAACAAAGTCCCTGCTATCATAAATCCCAATATGTAAACATCTTCAGCATCATCCTGAGACAGGACTAAGAGGCACATCAACTGCCACACTCCCCACAGGTCCATGACGTACCCCACAGCATGCGTCTCAGTTGGACAAGCAGGTTCTCCAGGACCTTGTCGTTTTGTTGAAAAAAATCTTGTCGATAAAGTTGAACGCTCAGGATACCAGATCCATGATCTTAATTTACGTTCGGGAGAGGTGTACCAGGCACTTCAGACACAGAGAGCAAAGCAGGAGGAAAGACAAAAGCAGCCACTTTGATTTTGAGCCAGAGAAAAAAAAAAGGTAAAGGTAGTTGGAGTGAGGACAGAGGATGCAGAGGACAGAATAAGATGGAGGAGGATGACTCGTTGTGGAGACCCCTGAAGAGGGACAAGCCGAAAGAAGAAGAAGAAGAAAGTAGATAATATACACAAATCTATAAAGGTACTTTAAAACGCAGATGGAACAGGTAAGCCATTAATTATTTATAACCTATTTGAATCATAATTTATTATTTGAGCTGCTATCCATGAGTGTATAAAATGTGGTACTGTTGTCTGGAGTTGTGAAATCAAGTGTCGAGTTCAGAAAACAAATTAAACTCAGGAAAGAGCCACAAACTGTGACTGCAGTAACATTATAGAGATTAACTTAGTTTTTTTTTAAATGGCAGGGAAATAAAAACAAAAAACCTTCTTTTAAAGCCCCTCTTTTTGGGGGACCCCAGTCTGCCAATCCAGGGAAACTGCTCCCAATGTCCACGCAATATTGCAGAGTTGTGTAAGCCAACACAGTACCGCATCATCCAGAGCCTTAAGGAACTCCGGATGAATCTCATTCACCCCTGGGGCCCTGCCTCCGCAGAGCTTTTTAACCACCTCAGTGACCTCAGCACCAGAGATTGGAGAGCTTGATCCAAAGTCCCCAGGCTCCACTTCCTCAGTGGAAGATGTGCTGGTGGGAATGAGGAGGTCTTCAAAGTACTCTGCCCACCAACCCACGACGTCCCAAGTTGAGGTCAGCAGCACAACATCCCCACTATAATGTTTTGACCTACATTATTTATATAAATTGTAAAAAAGAGTGGTCCTAAAACTGAGCCTTGTGGCACGCCGTGGGTGACTGTTAAATAGCTGGACGAAGTACCTTTGTGTCAAACACATTGCCTCTGACCTGAGAGATAGTTTGAGAACCAACCAACAGTGTCATCTGAGAAACCAATATCCGAGAACTTGTGGCACAAGATGCCATGATGTACAGTATCAGAGGCTTTGGACAGGTCTAAGTAAAGTGCAGCACAATAATCCTTAGCATCTGATGCTTCAACAACATCATTAAAAAACCTTCAGCTAATCAGTCATGCTATTATTTCCTGAAGCCAGATTGGAGAGAAGATAAAATGTTAAAAGAATCCAGATACAATATTTCTTGATTTTAATATTTACCAGTTCTATTTTGTATAGGCTTCGCCCTTTAAGGGTGTCACTTAGTGGATTTCATCCCGTAATGCGAAGCATCACACTGAAAAATTTAGTCCATGCCCACCTGCTGTGTGGGCCCCACCCGGTCCGTATAAATTATGTTAAGAGCGGGTGATTGGCTCCCATTTTTTCTTCAGCGAGCTAATGGCACTGTCAGAAGAACGAAGAAGGAAAGTTGCGTAGATGACCAACCTTTGTTAAGAATGCTTGGCCCGTCACGTTGACCTCCGGTCGTCCCGGTGAGTTCTCCTCCCCGAGGAGAAGCTGACGAGCAGTCTTGTTTCAAGGTAAGCGCCGAGGAGTATTTCTCAGTGACAGGTCGCTACACGCTGGACAACGTCATCTTGTAATTTTCCTCTTATCGCCGACCCTCAGAGCGAATCGGATGGTTCCTCCAGGACAGGCGGCGTTCAGCTGCAGCCCCCCGCTGCTCATTCCCTCCTGGAGAGCGTAGTGTCGGTGGAGGGGGGCTGAGCGAATGCTCACCTCATCCCACCTCGTTTCGCATCGGCGATCACACCGCTCCCAGCCGACGGCGCCCTCTGGGGTTGACCAGTGTAATCCAGGAGGCTGCTGACATTAAGGGACCCTTTTTTACATCCCGCACCTTTCCCGCCAGTTCGGATGATCCGGCGTGAAAGTTTTTTCTAGGCTCCATTCTGGCTCACCGTCCTGATTCCATCTGGCCTCGGTTTCCCAACAGGACTTCCTACGGGACAAGGCCACAGCCAGCTTTCCTGGTAGATTGGGGGGCCGGTCTCTCTTCAGTCCGCGCCCATCTCCAGAGCAGGGGTTTCACTGAGTGGAAATTCCCTCAGTGCCCCCTGGAGCCGAGCCTGACAGAGGCTTATCTCGGAGCAAGATGTCCAGGTGGACCAGCGTCCCGCGCCTCCAGTTAGCGTAACCCAGACGGTGACACCGATCTCCAACTGAGCTCACCAGCATGCGATCCAGACAGCCGCAGCGAACAACACGTTACGCTGTTGGCATACACGTTCAGAGGTGGGAGGAGACGTACGCTCCGTCTGTAGGGCAGCTGACGTCATCCCCAACCGGTGCGCCTCTTTGCTGTCTGCCGGCCCGCATCGCAGCCAGAGGACGGAGTTTTCAGCGTTTCCCTGAGACCGCCAACAGATGGCGCTCTAGGACAACAAATGGCAGAGCAAATGACAGTTTTGGCAGAGAATGTGTGTGAAGGTGACACGAGTTTGGAGTAAAACATCATTTAATGATGAAAGTGTCTATTTTTAGCCTGTCTGTCAGCTCAGACGACCTGACAGTGGC